TTTTTCACATTTGCTTTGTTGTTGTTTCTCCAAATTCCTCTTAACCTTGCAAAAGAATCCCTTTTCCTCAGCAGCCTCCTCCGATGTAGATGTTGCTCTCCATCTTTTCTGCTGTGATGAATATTTTTTAAAATAGATCACAACATCCTTTCTGAGGGATGCTGAATTCCCAAATTTTTCTCCCAAGTGGAAGGAAAATGAATCAAATCCTCAGGATGTCGAGCAATTGTGGCTGGCTGGAATATTTATAAATCTAAGTGCAGGTTAGAAACTCTCAACCCTTCAAATAAAAACTCCACTTATGGCTCCATCCTACAGTTGTTTTCCTGAAATATCTTGAATTTCTCTTGTGTTTTGAAAGGTATTTTGAGGAGCTTTGTCAACAGAATTCCTTGGACTCTTCTCAAGTCTCTTCCCCTTGCCTCTGTATTTCCTGCCTTTGGTTTCAGTTTGTCTTTTCTATGCAATATTTTTTCAAAATGCTGTTTCAGGGCTTTTTTTTTTTTAAACATGAATGTGTGACCAGAAAATTGCAGCTCATTCCTTTAAAGGGAAAAAAAATAAAAAAAAAAACAAAACAAAAAGCAGCAAACCCAAAGTGGCCACGAGATGCTCAAAACAAACCCAGATTTGTGACAAAATAAAATCTCAAATTCCTCGTGTAGGAAGCTGCTTTTTGATCTGGCTGTTGCTGATATTCCAGACAGGTTTGTGTCTGGTTTAGGTGAATAATAATCCTGTGGTATGTGATAGTGGTCAGGACATGATGTCTGCTAAATTAAATATATTAAATAAATAAATGGACTTTTACTCCATTATTTGCTGCTTCCAATGGAGGAGCTGAGGATCAGCCTTGCTGTCTGCTTGGGAAATGAGAAAAAACAAATAGGAAGTGTTTTAAAATGTGAGAAATTGAGGTTTAAAATTGAAGATTTTTAATCCCCCCCCACTGAAGATTGCAGTGAGAGCCCTCTGAGTTTTCCCTGGGGATGTCCAGGGGTGCCTTTGCTGCTTTCTGGGATTTATTTTGCAGTAAATTCGGTG